GAACACACTATGTACTATATTTCCCAATAAATTATCGAACAGATAATAAGGAATATGTCGTCTGTGGAGAGCTATGCTCGCCTACGTTTTGAATGGGGCTATTCTTTTATGCGTCGCGTCCCTACATGAAATGGTCGACCATGCCTATCTACAAATTATTCTGTATGGCTCTTAGCAGTTTTTAATTCCTTTGCTATGACTCCAGCTATCCATTCAAACGAGTGCGTCAGTTAACTGTCTCGCCGCCTTCCTCTATCTCTCTTTCTCTCAATATATCCCGTGAGTGTTAAGGTTTCCAAGCCCCCTTCCTAACAATGTGTCCAACGATTTTCGGAATGTCTTTTATGCAAGACCTATTGCTTACTCACTCCTTCCATGGAGTTTTCATTCTCCTTCTGTAGAACGACATCTATTGCTTCTAGTTTTCTCTCCACAAGTGAGCAAATCTTCCAGAATTACCTGCCATATAAGAGGATGTACAATCGAATCCTATTCTTCATTTTAACTAAATTTTCCCTTTTCTGAAAACCTTTCCGAGCTTTGGAAATGCTTTGTTAGCTAGTCCATTGTGTGTTAGGATAACGATGACACATTTTATCCATCTTCTGTTAAAACACTTCCCATATATCTAAACTTATTTACCTGCCTGATGTTGTTATCTCATATATCTTACTTAGGCCTTTTCGCTTGGTGATGACTATAATTTCTGTCATCTTGCAGTTGATGGTTTGTCCTTTTTACTCGCTTTCTTCTGTCACCCTGTCTCGAACGTCTTTTAGTCTTTTTTATATTGTTGAGATTACGTCCACCGATAATAAATCCTGATAGTCTCCATCTCCCTTGGGATGACCTAGCTTGAAGAGTTTGAATAAATTTGAAGAGAAGACGTCTCCTTGTCTCACGCCCATTTATATTTCTTATGTAGCTACTCACTTAATGTTCATCCCGTATAAAGTCCATTTCTCTCCAAGTCAAACCGTAACCAATATCCTACAACTTTGATTCTATCTTTGAAATCAGCGGCCCTGGCCTTTGTTTTATTTAGGTAACCTTATACTTCTCACACTGGCCGCATACAGAGAAATGGAACCCATTCTGGAACGTTCATAAAAATATTGAAATATGCCATTAAGAAACTAAGCCAAATATTAAGTTTGGTCTGTTTTGTTTTGTTTTACAGCATATCAAAATCAATGGGTAATTTAATGCCGACAAAATTTTTATTGCTGGTAATATTTTTTTCCTTTAAAAATCCATTTCGGTAATATCTTTCTTCAAAATTCTATTGCAGGTAACATTTTTCCAAAAAATGTATAGTTGATAATATTTTCCAAAAAATGTGTAGTTGATAATATTTTCCAAAAAATGTGTAGTTGATAATATTTTCCAAAAAATGTGTAGTTGATAATATTTTCCAAAAAATGTGTAGTTGATAATATTTTCCAAAGAAATGTATTGCGGGCAATATTTTTTCCAAAAATGTATCGCCGGTAATATTTTTTTCCAGAAGTGTATTGCTTTTAATAATTTTTCCAAATGTCTAATGCTGGTAATATTTTTACCAATAATGTATTGCTGGTAATATTTTTACCAATAATGTATTGCTGGTAATATTTTTACCAATAATGTATTGCTGGTAATATTTTTACCAATAATGTATTGCTGGTAATATTTTTACCAATAATGTATTGCTGGTAATATTTTTACCAATAATGTATTGCTGGTAATATTTTGTTTGTAATAATTTTCCTTTAAAAATGTATTGCTAGCGATAATTTTTCCTTCCACAAAATTATTGCAAGTAATACTTTTTCCTATATATGTATTGCTGGTAATAATTTTTCCTTCAAAACTATATTGCTGGTAATAACTTTTTCCTCAACAATGTATTGCTCTTAATAATTTTTTTTTTTGTAAAAGTATTGATGATAAAAAATTCAAAAAAAAAGTTCTCGAAAATATATTTCTGGTAAAAGATTTTCCCCTCAAAAATGGATTAATACCTATTTTTACACTTCCACGGCATTTGAACCCCTGTTTGGCAGTCAACTATTTGCCCATGGCTGGGACCCATCAGGTGCTACCACCCCGGGTCAGGGTGGACCTGGGAACCTGCTGCAATTAAGAGGTGGTTCTACACTCCTCAAACTTTCAATCGGAGGCCTTGTTGTTGGATGTAGTTTGACAGGACAACCAAATATTAAGAAAGGGAAAAATGTCTCTAGAAGCAAAAATGAAATACAGACTATACCGAATCATTTGCTAGATCTTTTATTAGGAAAGTTGGTAATATGTGTCACGTTAGACATATATCACGCCCGAATATGTGTTACATATTTATATGTCTTCCATTTGTGAATACTTAGAATACTGCTGCCGGGTCTGGTCTGGTGCTTCTGCTATATATTGATAAAATCCAATGAAGAATCCACAATGTCATTGGTCCTAACCTGGCATCTCGGCTTCAGTCACGTCACTTTCCCACTGCCGTAATGAAGCATCCCTATGCATTTTCTATAAATATTTTCATGGTAATTATTATAATGAACTCTCTCCTTTGGTACTTAAAATCTATGAATTTAAGCGCAATAAAAGATTGGCTGTAAGATCTCATTTTATAATTGAAATGGCTGGATGATTCCTTAAGTTCCTGCTTTCCAGTCAAGGCTGATCTTCAAAAATGTAAATGTAATGTCAGTCGTCATCTTCCGTCTTCTTGATTTCTCTTCATCTATTGTTCTCTCTCACTATTTTTTTTTCTTATACTGGATGCGATGGATAAATTGTCGTCTAAATTACGCAACAATTAAATTTACACGGACACCTCATTTTAACAGATATATTTACCAAAATTACACAATAATATCTTGAAATCCTAAAGCGTAATTTTTTTTCACTAATATCGTCATTGACTTCAACTATGGCCTCCAGGCGAATCCGAATCTCCTGCAACTCTTCTGGACGTCTCCTAGGTTAAATTGGTGAATGCTGCAATAATCCTTGCCTCCTGTCTATCTTTGGTGTTACAAGGTGTTTTGTTGGTCTCTCGCTCAACTGCGCCACACACAATGATAAAGCGTGTTGAAGTCTGTTGAGTTAGGTGGCCAGATGTAAGGGGTGATGTCTGACAGCCATGTTTAGGTTATCCTATTTGCGTGGTATCCTGCAGTGTCCTGTTGCCAGATATAGGATCTTCCAGTAGTCCCATCCTCTTGACCCAGTCCAGCATTACCTCCTCAGAGCATTTTATCTAGTCCTCCGTGTTGATTCTGAATCCCTGTGAGAAAGTGAATGGATACATAATGCATACATTACGTCACAATCACTACTGACATTACAAACGCCTTCGTAATCACCATTAGACTCATCCCACTCTTTCCTAATCATCTGCACTGTCCTCAGATTGACACTGATGCACTCTAAAATATTAGAGCTTCTAGCACGAATGTCTAGCAGTGCAGCATGTCATTCCCAAATTTCTGGCGGAGTGAATTACGTCATGGCGCTCTTTTTCTCACAGACTGTGCCCAACTGACCCTACTATAATATTCATTCGACAAAATCAAAACCAGACGGTGTCAATTTATCAATCGCACCTTGTATTCTTTCACAAGAGAGTGATCTCCTGCGTGATAATGTCTTTGTTGCTTTATTTGGTTTGAAATTATTCAAAAAAAAAAAAAAAAATGAAATAAAATTGTGCTTAACTGTACTATCTAATTTATATAGAAGGGACTGTTAGAAAATCTGCTCATAAAAGAAAAAGAGAGACGAGTGTATCGAGTAATGCTGAGAATATATGGAAAAACATTTGAGTTATGGGGTACATAGTTAGGAAAATCAAAGGGAAAGAAATCATTTGGGGATAGTAATTAGGAAGTGATCACTGATGTTTATTGGATACATTATGAGCACAAATTTAATTCAAGAGAAGTAGTGGAAATATTATATGGGTAAGAGACAAATGAAAGGTAGGAAGTTGTTGAGAACCATGATAGATGTCATGCATGGCGCCAGACTCCATATCGAAAACCATGATGGATCTCATGCACGAGAGCTGTCTGGAATGCCATGCGCGGCCAAACCCATTATCGAGAGCCATAATGGATCTCATGCACGGCACCAAACCCATTATTGAGAACCATTTTGGAGGCCATGCATGGACCCAGAACCGTTCTCGAGAAACGTGTTGGATGACATTTATAGACCGAGACCCGATCTCGAGAACCGTGTTGGATGACATTCATAAACCCAAACCCGTTCTCGAGAACTATGGTAGATATCATGCAATGGCGCCAAACACGTTCAGAAATATATGAACTGTCAGCTCCAGACAACCGACATTTTTTGTTTTAGATCAATGGTTAAAAAAGATATGAGCGAGAGAAGCCTATGGCCATTAGGGAAGATCACACTTTTTGAACCTTGTCGATGGCAATGCAAAAATCACCAAAAAAAAAAAAAAAAAAAAAAAAAAAAAAAAAAAAAAAAACAAAAACAAAAAAAAACAAAAACAAAACAAAAACAAAACAAAAAAAAAACACTGCCAAATAACAGAAACATCGGTTGAAGTCATTTAACAGCAGGCACATCTAAAATGGTATCACATGTATCCAAAAGAGAAAATAATGACATAATCAAGATACTGACGTTCGACACTACTTCAATTGAATGGTTAGGAACGAAGAGACTGTCAATACTAGAAAGAGCGATAAGAGTGACTGAACCTGGGAAACCTATTTTCCTGAAAAGATGTAAGAGAAAGATTTTATAATTTTCAAAGAACACTAGTATTGATTGCTTAGTCAATGCATGCTGAATATTTCCTTACAAGGAAACGGCTATTCTTATCCATTATCATTTTTCAAGACCTGATAATATATGGAACTTAAGAGAAGTAGCAGATATTTATGCTACCTGTGGCAGCTAATGATTTATTAAACAGATAATGGGTCTGTTATCATTATTTATTTAGTAACATCTAATACGAGAAAATATCAATGCGAAATAAACAGATGGCAAACTTTCTTGTTTACATTAACACGAAAACATATAAATCGACTGCACTGTCGCTGGAGCCTACAATAGACTGGGTGCCCCAATACAGACAGTCACCTAGCAAGTAAATATTTACAGACTCAGATATGAACGACTAATATTGACCCATCTTGAACCAAGTAAATATTTATAGACTCAAACGTAATCTATCATAAAAAATGATTTTGATAGTAAATAACCGCAAAGACCCAGACGAGTTGTAATACCAACCAGTACTAATCATTGGGAGGCACGGTTGAGTCATGGATAACGGCTCAGATTCAGGGATCGGAGAGCCGAGTTCGAATTCCAGTCGAATCCATTACATTCACTTACGTGCTATTACCCTTGGGAAACGTATGAATCGTCTTCTACTTCCCATTTAAATGGGTAAACAGCAGCAAAGATCGGGTTCTATAGCCTTGGATGATACTGGTAATAATAATGGCAACATACTGAAGGAAAAAAAATCTACCTTGTTAGCCACGGATCGAAAGATACATTATCACCTTAGCGTATATCACGTATGGCACATAACTAACTGATGTCTTTCTTTGTTTTCTTTCTTTCTTTCTACTTTTTTTCGGTTTTAATTCTTTGTTTTTTTAGTTGTTTCATTCAGTTTTTCATTCATTTATTTTATTTCTATTTTGCCTTCTTTTTTAATTTCGTTTTCTAGATTTTTCTTCTTTCCATCATTTTTTTCTTTTTCTTTATTTTTTCTTTTTCTACGCCCCTTTCATTCTTTTTACTTTTCCGATTTTGAAAAATATTCCCGCTTTACTGATTTTTCTTTCTTTCTCTTTTCTTCTTTCCTTTTCCATTTTTCTATCTTTTTTTTCCTTTTTTTTTTATTCATTTTTCAGTGATCACTTTTTATTTTTTTAAATGTTTTTTTTTTTTATTTCTGTACAAAATCCTTCATTCTTTTTCACTTTCCTTCTCTGCCTTCATCATATCTGTCTTTTGTCTTTCAAATTCCATTGCTTTCTTTTTCTGCTGTTATGTAATTCATTCCTTATTCCAATTTTTCTTTTTTTTTTTTATTGCTCTATTTCTTGAACTTTTTCCATTCTTCATTTCTTTTTGTTGTCTTAATATCAAATATTTAAGTCTTTATTTCTATCAATCTTTCTGATTTTTATACTTTTTTTTTGCATTCTTTGTGACAACTAAGTCTAGTGTGGCACAAGGCCAGGCCGGGTTTCTTGTTTTTTTTTTTTTTTTTTTGTTATCTTTTCGTTTATTTTATTTCTATTTTTCACTTTCTACTTTTTATTTATTTTCTTTCTTCTGTTTTTTTTTTTTTCTGCCGTTTTCATCTACCTCCCCCTTTTCTTTCCTTTTTTCTTTCTTTTCACTTTATATTCTTTCTTTTTTCTTTTTCATTTTCTTTTTCATTCACTTTTTTTCAGTTAACCATGCCATTCTGAATTTTTGACCCATTCTTTTTTTTGTTTGTTTTGTTTTTTGGCCAGCCTTCCATTAATTGTTATCAATTATATAACATCAACTGTTAATGTAAACAACGCTATAAACGAATTCCTAGGTTTAATGTTATTTTATCTTTTCTGTATATTTTCATTGTTTCTTTCTTGTTGTATTTTACTCGGACGGTTTCTCTCATCTCCGATTTTCTTTTTTATATCACTCTTGCTTCTTTTCTGTCTTACAAAATGTTTCATACATTTATTGCATTCGTTGGTGTGTTTTTTTTGGGGGGAAGAAGGGTAATTTTCTTTCTTTTATTTCTTTTCGCTCTTTCATAGATTTTTTTTCTTTCTTTTTTTCTTTCTACGGCCTTTCTCTTTCTCCTTTCATTTATTAGATTTTCTTTCTTTTTTATTTCTACGTCTTTTCCATTGCTTTCTTTTTTCTGTTATGTAATTCATTTCTTATTCCAATTCTTTATTTTTACTGCCCTTTTTCTTGAACTTTTTCCATTCTTCATTTCTTTTTGTTGTTTTAATATCAAGTACTTAAGTCTTTATTTTTATATCCTTCTTTCTGATTTTATTCACTTTATTTGCATTCTTTGTGACGACTTAAACTAGTGTGACAAATGGCCAAGCTGGGTTTCTGTTTTTATTTTTAGTCATGTATCGAAAGATAAGTGATCGCCTAAGCGTGTATCACGCATGGCACATAACTGACTGACTAATGATATAATATAGTTGTCATTTGTCATCAAATTGGTGAGAACGAAGACTTTCAAACATTGAGACTCGGGTTTGAATATCATTGTTGTAAATGTGTCATTGAGTTGATACTTGATAATATAGGACTTGACCGACTTGACTGCATTTGGAAATCATATTATGGTTTGACCCAAGCCTTGTAATTATAATCCGGTAGACAAAAATGTTCAAAGCCGCTATGCTAGTCATATCATCAAGATCCGAGTGTTTCAAGGTACCGATATTGTTCTATTGTTGATCATGCCTGATGATAATGTCATCATTATTTATTTAGTAACAGCTAATACGAGAAAATATCAATGCGAAGTAAACAGATGGCAAACTTTCTTGTTTACATTAACATGATATCATATAAATCGACTGCACAGTCGCTGCAGTCTACAATAGACAGAGTGCATTCAATACGGTCACATAGCAAGTAAATATTTACAAACTCAGATATGAGCGACTAATTCTCGAACCAAGAAAATTATAAGCTCAATGGTAATCATAAAAACGATTTCGATATCAAATAGCCACAACAAAACATCAAATAGCCACAAAAAAAACAGACAAGTTGTGATACCAACCAGTACTAATCATATAGTTGTCATTTGTTTTAATCAAACTGTATTCACATTGGTGAGAACACGCGCTTTCAAACAATGAGACTCGGATTTGATTATCACAGTTGTCGATGTGTCGGTGAGTTGATTCTTCATAATATAGGACTGAACCAACGATCTTAACATGAGCTATCGTTGTGAAATATGTCTAAGTCATACCATGGATTGACCCAAGTCTTGTAATCGGGTAGACAGAATTGTTCGAATCCCGCCAAAGGTTTTGCTAGTCATTTTATCGTGATCAAGTTTTTAAAGGTATCGATATTGTCCTACTGTTCATCATGCCTGATTATGCGTTTTCACAATGAAACTCTAGCTATAGGTCCACTCAGAAAATTGCAGATTAAACCACAGGTTAGCTCTGTGGGTGTTGAATAATTTTCAGTGTGACTGCAACAGGTTTAACTAGGCATCAAAGCAGACGAGCATACTTGCTATGTAGTTAACCAGTGATCATCTTATAAATTTGATGCAAAATATTTACTTTAGGAGATGTGCAAAGAGGGCGAAATGATTCGATTTGTAATACAACTCACTGAATAAATTCTAAGATATTCACTAACCGCCCGACGTTGTCGAATGTGGGGTATATGAGGCCGTATGTTCGGCCAAAAATTCCCCGTAGACCGCGTAAAAACAGGGTCTGGTAGCTGTCTCCCAAGACAAGACTTTGCCCTTCGACATAGCCTCGTCTGGGGATCCTCTCTGCCCGGAGGCAGAGAGTTTGACCAGCACACTCTGAAGTAATCCGGAGAGTGATCAACTCACTGAATAAATTGTAATATCCCATACTGTTTTTGAGTGAATAGAAGTAATAAATATATTATTCTGCTTTCACAATTGAATAAATGGTAGATGATACAAAGCTTTTCGGAATATACATGATTGTATGGACATAATTACTAGCGTCGGTGATATGTATGTTTTATGTTTTGATACAGTTTGAATTCTTGCATTTCTAGGATATTGTAACTATTAATGTCATGAAAGAGTTCTTTCATGGTGACTGTTTTGTAGTATTTCAAACGAATTTGAGAGAAGTCGTTATAATTTGTTAGTATATACTGATTGTAATGGTTTTATTATGAAAATGTCTTTTTATATTTTAATAGTATTTTGTTTGGGGGGTTCATTATTTCCGACAGCTGGTAACCTAAGAGTTTTTACCACTCCGGGTCAGGGTGGACCTGTGAACAACAGCAATTAAGAGGTTGTTTCTCGTTCCGCAAAACCTTCAATCTCCCGATCAGAGGCCTTGCTGCTGGATGTAGTTTATCGTCTGTTGTACCCTAGGAAACGGTTACTGAATAAGAATATCCAAAATGACGGTTAGAAATGGAAGGATAATATTTGTAACAGGAACAACATACAAGATTTGCCAGCGGCGTGTAATACGTACTCAACTGCTAGTGGTAAATCAAGCTGAATCGCAAATGAAATCCCACAACGAGTCAGCATTCAGTACATTCATCTGTATTTATAAAGATTGAGACATACTCAGTATAATCTATAGGTACGGTATAACATGGTCACATCCATGGCTCAAGTTGAATTAGAAGATTCAACCAATAATATACATATTCTTTTGCAAATTTGTTTGATCAATTATCGGAAGCAAACGTCTATATTATCAACTGAACATATATATATATATATATATATATATATATATATATATATATATACGGGTGTAACAGCAAAATTGTCCAATTGTTAAATTAAGCTTTAAACCGTTGTTTCTTAGAAATGATTAAAGATATCTTACTGGAATACTCCGAGGTTTTTATAACTCTGATGGACTTTGAACTAGAAGAAAGAATTTAGCTCTAAGTTGAAACGATGATCCCTCTACATGTTGTGACCTCCTGATCCAGTTTTCCTCTCAACTATCACCTGTTTTTAAACTTATTCACCGTTCTCTTGATGGTTCTTGAATGAACTTTGAAGAAGAAAGCCAGTGTATGAATGATGGTACCATTACTGAAGGCCTGAATGATCTTTTCCCTCTCACCATTGCCCAGGTGGAAAGACATAGTGGGGCTGACACAAAACAATTTTAGCCTCTTTCTAGCTGAATAATGCTTACAACAAATAGTGTCAAGATGGCTAAACGCCTTATCTGAAAACACGGAATAAAAAAATCAACTAATTTAATCTTTTTTTTTTTTTAGATATTAAACATTTTGTGCGATGTACAATTATCGCATGCTGTTACACAATTTGGACAATTTTGCTGCTACACAATGTATTTAAGATTTCCTATATAAGATATGTTAGCATATATTATAAATTAACTGATTTAAAATATGGTTTCTTCGATACGTAAGAATTATCATGTTTCAAAAACCGAAGCTAAAAACTTTAAATTTAATTATATAATTAAATTAGAAGCATTAGTTCTGTTTCATCTTCAAGCGAATTTTGGAATAACTTATTTTTGAATTTACTGAGGTTTAAACACACATATAATTCATAATTTCTTGTTTCCAAGGTTACAGAGAAATCCAATCATTTAGACAGGGGCGGTAGCGTGTTCATTTTTATTAACTATTGCTGTATCAATTATGAGTTATCCGATGTGATGAGAACGAAAGTAATATATAAATTCCAACATTCACAACATTAATCCAAAAGAGGGCTCGATACCGATAGTAAAGCAATAATTATTTATTCTAATTTTATTATATTGGCAAAACCATTTTACTCACTACAAAGATGCAACTTCGTTTCACTGCATTTCAACTGCTCTTCGACAGGTAAGAATCGAAAATCATTTCAAAGCTCAATGTAATATTGTTGTGTATGATACACCTAATTTACATAAGCGGACTACCGACCATATAAATATGGGTTGGTACCGGAAGACGGGGAAGATAGTAGAGATTAAGAAATTGAATCCAGAGACTCTGCCCGACTGCGTTTTAGTCAACCCATTATGCAGGAACAGTCTTCCCAAGAATATACCAAACTAACTGTAAATATTGTGTACCTATTCTTTGTTTCAATACATTTTGTTAACGTACATTTTGTGTTGTATTATTCCATGCTTATTTAAGCTTCAACAAATAATATATATATATATATATATATATATATATATATATATATATATATATATATATATATATAACTATAAACCTAAACTTCATATAATAAATTTTATTAACATTGATGTGCACCCAGCCGTTTAAATATAGCATACAATCACCAGCGACGAATCATGAATAACACATATAAACTTGTCTAGTCAAGCAGTGCGAATGTAGTTATTTGCATTTTAAATTATGGCATACAACAAATGAAAAATATTTTATCACTTACCGGTTCACAAGACTTAAAATATAATTTCCTTGCTAAAAAAAAATTCCTGTTAATTTGTTGACTAAAAGCATTACCTAGTACAAACAAAACTACCCATATTTGCTCTAACAAACAAAACTACGGCTGTAATCAAGGACAGAAGCAGATTTTAGATTTGGTGCCAACGTTTCGCGTTTTCTGATGCGTGAACTGCAGGCGTGAGGTTTTTTTTCCCGAGGTAGCAAGAGGTACAGAGTGTATAGTAAAGAAAATCTTAGGAGTTATTGAAAACCATGCGGTGAAAGATGTTTAATTAGTGAAGGAAATGTGATATACATAAAAAAAGAAATAGAAAACATTGAAAGAAATGAGGAATATGTTGTTTTCCAACCAAGATGTATAGAAAAAAAATGGTATCTATCTCTTGAAGGAAAAAATAATGAAAGACTAAGTCATTGCCAGTGGCAAACTGAGTTATCCTATATTTTTTGCAACTATTTAAACTAATAAAGTATCGAGTATCAATTTACACCCTATTAATTTTAGAAAAGGTAACTCATTATAACATTATACTAATGTAGTAACTATAATTATAAGATTTGAAAATTATTTTGAAAATCATGTACAGTGTAACCCGGGTATAAGAGAGTTGTCGGGACCGGAGAAGAAGTCTCTTATATCCGGGTTTGGTCTATTTTATATACATTAACACAGGCTCTAATTTGGGACCAGAGAAAATCTCTCTTATATCCGGGTTACACTGTAGTAATATTATTTTTCAAAGTAACAGAGAAAAAAATCAAGACTCCTATGCATAAGGGATTTCACTTCGAAGCTGTTTATTTGTAGTACTTTTCTATTGTTTATGAAACTGACAAAAACAGATCTTATTGATTTACTTAGGTTTAAATTAAAATAATGTATAAAGCTTGTATTTCTGGCAACATAAAG